TTTTTATGTATCAAGTTGTGGGGAGAAAGATATAAGCTGTTCTGAAAGAATTTACATTAGCTAAAGACAAAGGGGGTGGGAGAAGGTGAAGTGGGTTAGTTCTAGGATAGGCACAGAGTCCTAATGAAAAGGAAGAAATGTCTGCTTCTGTGGATTAGCTGTGGGCAATGGCTTGGAAAGCTCGTGTGTAATCAAGAAATTGAGGTTCCTGGGGTCCGATGGTGCCTAGCTCTCCTCTCTTGGATAATCTCAGAAATTACCACGTGGAATTTATCCATAATTCTAACAGACATGCAGGAATGGAAGCAGTCTTTTGTCAGGTGGCTCTTCAGTTAGTAACTTCCTTCTCTTCCTTCCACCCTTTGGACTGCCATAATTTAATTTAGGGCATCTCGGAACATTCTCCTTGTCAACACCGGTCATGTGGGATTAGGGCTCCACTCTTGAGACCTCTTTTAACCTTAATTATCTCCCTAACGGCCCTACCTTCAAATACAGTTACATTGGGGATTAGGGTTTTGACATGGGAATTTGGAGGAGGGGGCACAATTCAATCCATAATATGTATTAAAACATCTTCTTTAACCGAAAACTTCTTTTTTTTTTCTTTTGATTTTAGAAGAAATTAAGGCATTTTCATATGCCCTTAAAAGATCGTGGGCCCTGGGCACTGTGGCTACTATGCCTGAGGAATACTTATTCCTGCTTGATTGTTTTACAATCAGATCCATGGGGAGGGGGAGGAGTTTTAATCATTTGGAAAAACCTGTGTGAGGTTATACTGATTAGATTATGGAGCTCACTAGACCTAGGAGTAGGGTCTATCCCACCCAGATGGAATTTCTGCTATACAATGGGAGGGGGAGTGGGATGGATATCAGCGAAATAATCAAAATATCCATTGAAGATGTGAACAATTTACAGAAGAAAAAATAGCATATTACAATTAGCATATGAAATAGCATATGGCTAGTATTGATGCTGGGGAGTAAAAGGATAGGAAAAATAAGACAATAAGATATTTTTCACCCACCAAATTGGCAAAAATTTAAGTTTGATAATATCCAGAGCTGACGTAACGAGAAGAGGGTGGTCTAATATATTGTTGATGGGACTCTAAATTGGTATACCCTTTTGGGAGGATGATTAAGTAGCAGCTATCAAATTTTTAATTGTGAATACTCTTTATCCCAGCAATCCAATTTCTAGGTATCTAAATATCTAACATAGGAAAACATGAGGATTGTTTGAACAAAAAAAGCATATACAAGGATATTCATTGCAACATTGTTCATAATAGTAAAAATTTGTAGAAACCCTTATAATTCATTAACAGTAGTGTGGTCAAATAAACTATACTACGTACATACTATGAATATTATGCAGCAGCTATAAAAATAAAGTAGATCAATATGTACTGACATGAAAAGAGCTCCAAGATATTTTAAACTGAAAAAAAATCTATATACATATATACATACATAGAATGATCTCATTTATGTAAAAAAACCAATTTGTTTCCATATATATTCTAAATTTGTATTGTGCAAGTATTATATATGTACAGTATTCTATGTAGATATATATATTATACTTTTACATGTATATATTACACATAAATCATACATTAGACATAACTGTATGTATAAAAAATCTCAGAAGAGCTTACAGCAATCTGACAGGGTAGTTTTCCTTTAGTTAGTGAAGTTAAGTGGGGCTGATGAGGGCTTTTGTGTTATTTCTATTGCTTGCAATCTTTTAACATCAAGCATGTATTCAAATACTGTGCAATACATACATTAAAAAATAACCAAAAAAGTAACTTGCCTAAGAACACATAACGCTTCCATGGCGGAGCTAAGATTAAAGCCTAGACCTGGGGTTGCCAAAGATCTAGTTCGTTCCACTATTCCCTGTGCACACAACCTCTCCGAGTTTGCCTTTCTCCCAATAGCCCCTACCCCTACACCTCCTTACTGCATGTCTCTCATCTTCTCTTCATCACCAAATGTCTTCAGACACCATAGTGACCCATCTTTCCTCCCATTTGATTAACCCCAAGTCACTGTGTTCTCTCGGCATCACGTTGCTGAAACTTACAAAAGGCCTGCCAGCAGGTTGGGGTTGCTTAATTGCTGGAGGAACTCTGAGTGCTGAGACAGCTAAACACTCAGGCCTGCTCTGCCCAGGCCTCTGCCTCTCGCTAATGATAACAAAAGCTCCACTGCAGCAGCTCTGACGCTCTGGAGAGTCCATTCCAGACAGAGATCTCTGATAGAGTATTTCATGTCTGTACAATGACTCCCCAGAGAGGAGTAAATAAGGCTTTCCTTGAAACATTTGAAGATCAAAGAAATTCATGCATGTGAGTGCACATTATAAGCAGAGAGTGCCACAAAACCGTTGGCTGGCATAATCTCTTCTAAAACCTAAAAAAAAAAAAAAGAAAAAATTGATTTCTTTTGGAAAGGCAGTACATGCACAATGAAAAACATTCAAATAGCACCAGAGAATGCAGTGAAAAATAACCCCATCCTTTCAGAGATAATCTTTGTATATACAAGCACATATGTGTGTATATACATCTATATTCACTTTTTTTACCCCAGTAGTAGCACACATTATTCTACATCTTGCTTTTTTCACTTAATATATCTCAGAGATCAATCCATATGTGTACGTAGAGCCCTACCTCATTCTTTGTAATGGCTGCATAATTTTCCACTCTAAGGCTGTGCCAAAGTGTGTTTAATTAGTCTCCTACTAATGGACATTCAGATTGTTTTTCACACCATACCACAATGAATAACTTTGCTCAATTGTCTTTTCACACATGTGTGAATACTCTGGTAGAATATATTCCTGGGAAGAGAATTTCTGTCAGAGTAGTTGGATTTTACACTTTTGACTGATAAGGCCAGTACATTGTAGTAGAACATAGCCTGGAACCAAGTGCTGACTCAGTCACTTATTAGTTGGGTGAACTTGGATAAATCCCTTAACCACTCTGTGCCACAATTTCCCCATCTTTAATAGTACCTCCCTCATAGGGTTGTTGGAAAATTCAATGAGTTGATATACAAAAACTTCTTAGAAGAGTGTCTGGCATGCAGTAAACACAGCATTAGGCTTTATTATATCGATCTATTATCTTGTCAAATTGCCTTCAAAGAGGTTAATTTATATTTCCACTATAATATCTTATTTCCCTCACCCTCACCAACGTTGCATATTTCCAACTTTATGAACTTTGTCAATCTGATGGATGAAAGGGGTATTTTACAGTGATTTTAATTTTTCATATAATAAATTCAATTGATGAATTCAATGACATTCTCAGTCCTATTCCTACTGAACCTCCTTGCAGCATTTGACATTCGAAGCCTAGATTAGGGTGTCCCCTCCTCCTTGGCAAGTCTCTATGGCCTCCTTGACTACTGTAGTGTACTTCTTTGGTCCTCCTCCTAATTCTGACTGGTCTTTTACTGGTTCTTCTCTCTCCTCCCCTCCTGCCTTGGCTCTCAAGACCTTCTCAACATGGCTTCACCTACTTTTCTGACACTATTTTTATCCTTATTTCTGACCTTATTTTCTTCTAAATACATCCTCTACTTGTTCTCTGAACTCTTTTATATGCTTTCTTGCCTCTGTTTTCACTGAAATTCCATCACTTCTAGGGTTAACATAAAATACAGGATAGCCATTAAATATGAATTTTAGAAAAACAATTGTTTTTAGTGTTTTTATTATATGAAAACCAAAATTTACCTGGGCATCTTATTTTATTTGCTAAGTCTGGCAACTCTACCCCCAGTACTTTGTACCCCTAATGCAGTTAATTTCTGTCTTATATCATTGTTACTTGTGTTCATACAAGAATGAAAGCCTTGACCAGGCAAGGGCTGGGTGTTTCCTTTCTTTGTAAAGGAATGTATGGCAAAAGTGATCTGTATGTTATGCTGAGTTCTCCAAAGGAAATAGGAAAGTTGAGAAATCCAGTTCTGTCATCGAACAAACTTAATCTTGGTCTGTTGTTTTGGCAGCATTTAATGTAGAAATGTAGTCAGGGTCATAACTCAGCATTAAACTTCAGTTGAAAGAGTAAGATTGAGTAGCTTTGCCTAATATTTACTAAACAGCTTTATTGATATAACTTATACTGTAAAACTCACCTGTTTTAAGTGTACAATGATTTTTAGTAAATTTACAGCACAACTGTCACCGCAATCCGGTTTTGCTCCTAGTCTGTTTGCAATCGGTCCCAGCCTGTTGCCACCCCAGCTCCAAATCCGCCTAATGAATGTATTTTAGAGTCGAGTTGACCTTACAGATCCCAGTTGTCTTAAAAGGAACCCAGGACTGCACTCCCAATGAATATAAATATGGGGCACGTGCGCAGGTTTAATCAGTGTGCCAACTATGTCCCGCCTAGGTCCGTTTGTGAGGAATTCCTTCTTTCACCCACTGAGCAAAACACCGTTAGCTGACCTATGTGTTTATTATCTAAATGGGGCAAAAGCAGTAAGCAGGTGCTTCTACACGTGGCATGCGTGCATCTGCGTTAGACGTGAGCACAACCATGTGCCAGGGCGCGATGACTAATGTGTATCCAAGACAGAGGACCAGTCGGTGTCGTGTGCGGCTGCGCAGCTTCGCCGGTGCCTAGAAACTAGTAACTGAAACTCCCTGCTCGAGACCTGTCAGTTCTGCTGTTGAGGCGCCGCCGTCTCGGACCTGAGCGTCCACCCGTGACAGCCAGCGAACCCAGGCCTGGTAGGTTAATCCCAAACCCCCAGTTTTCCCCACCCGTAGCTCATAAGGAGTACCAACATCGCCAGGCCACGCTCCAGAACCTCCAGGGAAGGGGCCCTGTCCCTTAGCCACACCCCGCAGTTTGTTAGGCCGCGTCTCCTTGGTCAGTGAAGGGCTTAGTCCCTCCCCTTCGAGGTAACGTCAGTAGCCACGTACCACGTTTCTACGTGTCTCGAGCCTAAAAGCGGAAGTTACGCCAGGGACTCGCGAGCGGAGCGATGGACCTGAAAGAATATAGGCCGCTTGAGGAAAGTAGGCGAGAAGACGGCATTGGAAGGCGCCGGAAGTGGTCTTGCTGAGGCGGGGTGGGAAAGGGGTTGGCCACCCAGTTCACTTGGCTACAGCTGGCCCTCCGGTTAGGGCACGCTTTTGCTCCTCTCCGAGAGCCTGGCCCAGTCTCTCCGCTTCGGTCAATATGGATTTCAGGGAAATTCTCATGTTAGCTTCCAAAGGACAAGGAGTCAACAATGTACCGGTAAGTAGCCGCTGGGGCACCTCTGTAAGAGATCCTAATCTGCAAGTTCGCAGTGTATATCGGGTGGAACTTCCACGCATCCGCCTTTCGTCTCGGCTAGAGGAAAGACCTGAACACCTTTATTTCCTTTTCGTGGGCATGTACTTCTGGGAACTCGGCGCGAAGAGAGAGGCTTGAGACGCCAGGCGGGAACCTTCCTGCGGGCGGATTTTGCCAGCTCAATTATCCCTGCAAAAAGGACTTTGCGGTTTGCGTGTTTTAGAGTTGTGTGAGAGCTAGTGAGTGGAGTCGTGCCTGGCACACAGTGGAATCTAGCGCTAGTAGTTTCTGGCTTCGGCATAAACTTCTGGCCAAAGCTTGGGGAGAAAGCATGTATGTTCCGAGTTCAGGAGTTTTAGAAACTTGATAGCCTTTTGGCTGATTTCCCTCGGATTTTCAGGTCAAACATTTAGTGATTTCCCCAACAAGTTCTCTTGATATATGACCCCACTCACTTAGGGAACGAGGTGATTAAATCATCGCCTCTCAAGGATCATCTTTTGTATTGGGGAGAGAAATTGAGCGGATTCCACGAAATCTTTGGCGAACAGCATGGGTGAGCTAGCTTCGGGTTACGTTGACTTGTGGTCTTCTAGATTTGCCTTTGTTTGAAATCTAGGTCCCGTTTGCTCAGTAATGTGTGCCAATTCGCTTATATTCGCGGAGCGGTGTAAGACTTAAAATCGAAATTCTGAAGTGATGGAGAGTGCCTGATTTGTGAGGCTCTAGCTGTTTTGCATTAACTAGTCATTTCTGGATCCTCAGATGGTACCCACAACACAGCTGTAAACCGATACATTGTGTTGTGATACCTGCGGTTTGAGCACTGAGATGTAGAACTGAAACAGCTCTCTGTTAAAGTCATTCAACTGGAATTTAGTGAGCTCTCACTGTGCTCTGCATTTCTTATAATTTTGTATATTGCAGTTATTTTTTTCTCTTTCGTTCTTTTCTGTCTTCTGATGCTGACCCCTTTTATCCTTTTGAAAACATTGATCTAAAGATAGTAAAATAACTGGTAAATAAAACATATCTATCAGCTTATTATCTATCTATCCATCTCCATCTGAAGTTCTTTTAATAGTCATCCTGTAAGCCATGAGTCATAGGCTCTGCAGGTTGGAGTTCTGGGCTTAAACCTTTGAAACCTGGAACAACAGAATTACTTCCTGCACCTTTAAATTTCCTAGACAAGTCAATATTGGATCTGGTAATATTGGATCTTCCTAATAGGCCCATATTTCATTCTAGATCTTCCTAAGTTTCAGCGGAGGTCAAAATAGATGTTAATACTAGCTTTAATGCCCAGGAATATTCTGCGAAAGAATCAGAACCAAGTTAGTCATTTCTATTCTAAAAACCAATAAATAGCTGCTAGGACAAAAGCAGATATTCCTAGAACAGAAGCAGATTTCAAAATAGTGTGTATTTTAGAATATATACATAATCTATTGATTTATCTGTGGTTGGAATAACAAAGATTGGAAGCAGAAAGAAAAACAGGTAAATTGGTGAGGTTATTTAAAATTTAATAGATGAATATAGACATATATGTTATGAAAGTGTGCTTTTCCCTGCCCACTCCCAACCCCCCAAAAGCTAATAAGCCTAGAAGTTTGATTTAGTTACCAGCATTATAATCCTTACCTTTTTCATCAGGTGAAAGTATGTCACCAAAGAAACTGTTGAGGAATACAGCAAGACCACAGTTAAATTTAACTCATGATCTTGCTTTAACTTGATTCATCAAATTGTTCTAAGTTATATTCTTTATCAGCTCAAAGTAAAGCCTTTTAGAGTACACTGTCAGTGCAAACAATCTATACAAGGCACAGGAAAAATGCTCTTTCTGCAGGATTCCTCTGCCCTTTAGGTGGACTGGGGAAAGAGACACATTCGTAAAAAATATACATTTTTTAAAATTTTTGGACACTTGCAAAACATAGAATGTTAACACGTATCTATATGCTCACACCCCATATTTAACATATATTAACATTTACCATATTCATATTTTTTAAAAGAAATAAAGCCTAAATGATAAGGCTGAAGAATTTCCCAGCCCTCATTTCCTTTTTTTTTTTAAATTATGAAGTGTAACATCCGGAACAGTGTAATACAGATTATTATAAAACAAGTATCCTTGTGTAAACCACCATCTAAGTCAAGAAACATTTCAAACTACATAAACACACCCCGCTTTACACAAATTTTGGTGATTGATTGATGGTTTGAGAACCACAGAGGCTTTGCAGTAATTGACAGTTATAGCTCCATTCCTCTCCAGTGCATGGTTCATTTTTCCCTGTTAGCCATCTTCTCCCCAACCTTACATTTGGATCCTATCAGCTGATGTTTATATTTCAGTGTTAAGAATTCCAAGTCAGACCTTTGTTACAGAAAGGAAATGCCACTAGCGTTGATTAGACTAAAATCCAACGGAGGCTAAAATCTAAAACACTCTGCAGGGCTTTATTTTAAGAGGTGTCTTTTGTACCTGGCTTGAGAAGCAATGAACATTTCCCTATTGGGACATCTTTCTTTTATGTTGTTTCTTTTTAAGAGAATTAGTTATTTTTTATAATGTTTTAGTTAAAACAAAGAAAGGATTGCATCATGCCTAGAAATATTAGGCACAGCTATCATTTCCCAGTGGAAAACTGAATTCAGGATAACAGCTGATCAAGGTGATGCAACCAGTCATTGTCATTAGCTCTGTATATATTTAAAGGAGAAAAGATATTTTTGGTAACCTTGCACTTAAGATTTTTCTCCCTGCCTTCCTCTGGCAAAAACAAAGTGGTTGTCTTGTTTTGATAGAATAGTAGAGCTCAGAATATGGATTTTTCTAGGTTTCAAATAGTTATAATTGATGGCTTATAGTGTATGAGATAAGTTACATGGTTTTTCTCATAGGCTGTGAAAATCATCCCAGATAAGAGAACTGTAGCTCTGGGATGACACTCAAAAAAGTAAAATAAGACTTCTTGTGGTATCGGATAGATAAGGACTTAGGGGCCTATAGTCCCTTAAAAAGAATATAGGTACTGAAAATGAAGCCCAGGGACTTTAACTGAGATGGCAATTTCAGATGTCTTCAGGGGCCAGATAAATAAAATAAATTCTTGAAGTAAAATTTAAAATATATAATAAGCCACCCTGAACAAGCCCGATATCTGATCTGGGAAGCTAAGCAGGGTTGGGCCTGGTTAGTACTTGGATGGGAGACCACCTAGGAAGACCAGGTGCTGTAGATGTAAAAAATAAAAAATAAGGGATTGTAAGCTGACAAGGTCTTTGCAGTCTGTGAGATCAACCAAGGATTACCTCACCTAAAAAAATAAATAAAAATAAAATAAATAAAATATATAATAAAATGAAGTAGATATAAAATGATAGGTGCCAAACTCCATGTATTCAAAAGAAGCCTACTGTTTGTTACAGTACTTATATTTCCTTTTAAAAAACAGTATAGGCCAATAAAAAATATCTGCAGATAGTCACTTTGTAACCCTTGATCATTAATCGATTATAACTGGATTACTCCCCACTCTTGGAGCTGACTTTTCCAGTGCCTGGTGCAGCTTTAGATTTCTAGCCTAGAGCAGCACTTCTCAATCAGTGTTTTAGGGAAAGGGTCTTTTGAATATTACTGCCCCCACAGAGATTTGGTCATTTCTCTTCCCTATGGTTACCTAATGTCTTTCTGAATAATAATAGCAACAGCAATTAACATCTATAGTGCTTACTCAGTGCCAGACACTGTTCTAAGCACTTCGTATAAATTAATCTCCATAATGACCATATAAGGAAGTTTGTTTTACAAATGAAGAAAGTGAGGCCTAGGGTGAAGAAACTTGACCAGAGTCACACAGCTAATAAATGGCAGAGCAGAGAATCTAATCCAGACAGACTGGCTCCAGAGTACTTGCTCTTAATCATGACATTTTATTGAATGAAGAAAATGTATTAGATATGGGATGGTGAGGAAGGTTGTCATCTGTACAGCCTGAACCACTGAACCCATCCAGCTCCCTGTCTCTAACTCCAGCCTAATATAGCCTTAGGCAGTAACCCTGTTGGTTTTTTGATGACACTTCTCAGAGTACTATAAAGTCTGTTGGGAGAGAAATTTAAAGGCCAAACCAACAATGTTTGAAACTAGTGCATAGAGAGAGATTTCTGGCCTGTGAGGGAGAGTGCCAGCATGGTAAACAGAAATAGAGTCTGAGGCTAGATAAGATAGAAAGTTCAGTGGCGGACCTGTTTGAAGTAATGGCACTGTCCAGAAGGCAGGTGGAAATTAGGGAATGGCATTTAAGATTGAGGTTAGAACTAGAGATGAAAATGTTGGAATTAAATTAGAAATGAGGCATGTAACGGGAACATTTTTGGACCTCAGTCAGACCTAGATTATAATTCAGACTCTGCTACATACTGAGTGACAGCCAGTAAATACACAGTTGTCCTTTTGGGACCATTTTTAACACAGAGGTTGGACTAGAGGCTCTGAATAACTGTCTGATATTACATTTTATAATCAGATATGTTTTAAACACAATACTAGTAAATTTTACATTTAACCCAATAGAAATCCTGAATAGCAAGCTTTTTGGTGGTTTTATTTTCACCCTCTTGGCTAACTAGCTAATAAGCAAGCCTAATGTAAACCATTGGTTTTCCAGGCCTGCATTCATTCCCTGATTATGATGTTTTGAGAAGATTTTAGAAATTGTGTGATTATTAAATTTAAGACTATATTCTTTGACTATTCCTAACTCCTAATTCTAACCAATAATATGTCTGTAATGTATATAAAACTGTCAAGAAATTTATATTTTCTACAATTTCAACCATGTGTTATCTCCTCAGTAAAGAACAGCTTTCAAGAAGAAATTGTTGATTACAACATATTTGGTGAACAAATATTTTCAAACTGAAAGCTCCTTATTAATCTGACCGTGACAGTATAGTCTGAATGCAAGGAACACAGGTGTTTTAAAGTGACTTAACATCTTGTAGGTCTGTTGGCTTCAGAATTGCAAATCTGGGCAAAATCTCTGATACTGTATTTAAATGGCATAAGATTCACTGTTGTGGATCATTCATTGGGATCTAGCAGAATGAGTTGGCTTGCACTATAATAAAATGGATACACTTAGGATGAAAGAAACTCTTGTCCAGCTGCTTTTCATGACGCTGAAACAATGAAGCAGCCCGGTGCCTTGAATCAGATTCAGAATTGGTGGGTGTATCTTGATGTGCTGCTGCTAGAGCTAAATGTGACCATCTGATGCAGGGGGAAGTGCCAAATAGTTCTTCTGCCTTATTAAATAGAATATAATGTAATCCCAGCCTTAAGCTTTCGTCAACATTTTTATTGAGATATAATTCACATACCATAAAACTTCACCCATTTAATATGTACAACTCATTGTTTTTTAGTATATTCACAGAATCGTGCAATCATCATCAGTATTGATTCCAGAACATTTTCATCATCCTCAAAAATAATCCTTTACCTTTAAGCAGTCATTCCCCATTCTCTTCTACTCTCAGCCCCTGACAACTACTAATCTACTTTCTGTCTCTATGGATTTGCCAATTCTAGACATTTCACATAAGTAAAATTATATACCCACTGAAACATTACATAGTATTAAGTATCATAAAATAAAGTAAAATGTATAAGCTGCAGATAAATGATTCTATAGGTAAGTGGTTATATAAAATATATGACTTTTTATTTTGAAAATCTTCATTGTTAATTTTTACTCGACTCTGATATTAAATTTGAAAATAGATACCTTCAAAGGCCGAGAGAATATCTTTTGGAAAACACTCTATAAGTAGGTTCCTAACATCCTTGACCTGAGAAATTATTTGGCTTAACTAAGAGATAATTTCCATGACCATTAAATGTTTCGGCAAGGGTGTCATTTTAATTATTTTTGGAGTAAAAGCAATATACCTAGAACTTTAAAAATGACAATTATGTAAGTAAAGTTAAATAGAAGTAATGTAATTTTTATTCTGTTGTCAGTGTTGACTTTTCTAATAACATATAAAGTACGTTGTATGTTTTTCTCAAGTGAAAACTTTTAAAGAAAAAAACGAAATCATACAACATGTGGCTGTGATGGTCAGTTTTATGCTAGCTTTTGGAATTCTTTTCTGAGTGAATCTGAATTCCTGAACACCCCCCTCCCTTCTTTCTTCCTCGTGGTATGCCTTTCCTGTGTTTATATTCCTGAGTCAGTGTTTCCTGAAATGCAGTACATATAGCTCTGGCTCAACTCTGATTTTAGGTGATACACAACTACTTTTATTCTAATAGTTGTATTTTTTAAAATTGTTACATATTTTGATGTGATTTGGAAAAATATTACTAGCCTTTCAAGCCATTCCTTTCATTGATAATATTTCTTGAGGTAAAGCTGTAATAGTAAGTCATGGTGTTAGGTCTATGTATTTTCTTAAAATTAATAAATAATAATACAGGTGGTATGCTAAAAGAGGAAAAGTCATAAAAGTGGTATGTGACAGCTGAAGCTTAGTAAATACTGTGTTAAACTGTGCCCATTGACATTGTTTTTCCTTTAGGTGCCTTTATTCAGTCAAGAGTAGCTTTTCTATTCATTTAATTCCATTACCTATCCCTTGAAGTCCTGGATTAGGAAGAAAGATGTTTATCTTGAAATGAAGTTAAGAAGTATTCACTGCTGTAATATCTAGATTACAAACCAATCCTATTTTAAATTATCAACATTAACGTATATATTGGCGTTTTTTTGTGGGAAACACTGTATAAGCTTTCATTTGGCAGGTGACTATGGACTATAAAGTTGGCAGGGACAGGAAAATCTTAAATCTTAGCAAGAAAAATCTACTCTTTCTCTTCTTACAAATCTAAATGATGGGGTGGAGTGAGTGCGTATCTCTGTTTATGAATCTATGTATGTCTTATGCAACTTGAATCATACTCGATGGCCCTTCCATTATGAAAAAGTGAGCTTCTTGCAGTTAAGGTCTATGTTTGTGATTCTTGTAAACTGGGACAATTTTGTATATCTAGTTAGGTAAGCAATATGCTTTCTACTCAGTCTCCCATTACCTCTCCTTTTCTCCTTTAATTATTGGGCTTCAATCCACTGTGAAAAAGGGTCTACAACTGAATTTACAGAGATACGGATTTTTTAAGGGATCTCATTGTGACTCAGCCAAGGTGGACTGGAAAAGGACTCTGGATGCTCTCTTATGATTTCTCTGTGTCAGGGATGTGTCAGTTCTCAGCATTGCTATCATGCAGGATTTTCAGGTTGGATTAAGGCCTGCTTCCTTGGCCGGCTGCTTCATTGGTAGACTAACTTGGCTGGAACTTCCAGCCTTTTTCAGGATGCCTCGTGTTTAGCAGACGTATGGTAAGAAATGGATTCTTCGACTTTCCTCTAGGAATTTCATACACATTTTGGGAATCACTTTTTGGTTCCTAAAGTAGCTCAGTTTGTTTTCAGAGGTTTTTTGTTTGTTTGTTTGTTTTTAACTAGCACTGCAACAGTCAGGGAATAACACTGTCATTTCCCTAATAAGACAAAAGAGAAAGGACACGTTAAAAAATCTTACTTCCTACCTCATAAATTTAATATGGGATGATCCTAGAGATGATCATCCCAGTCTGAGTTATTCACTCTATAAATCATACTTCTTTAATGATACTTAGGAAATGGAAATGTTTGTCCTTTCATAGTTCAAATTAACTATTCTAGTTTTAGTAATTTCCCTATGCAGTTACATAAAAAGTAAAGCTCAGAGAAATACCACCTGTGCCAAGATAATGTTAGCACTTTTTAGGTGATATGTAAACCCATCTAAAAGAGTTTATGTGATGAATTAATATTTAATGAACATAAGAGCTGCAGTTAAAGGTTACAGAGAATTGGGCCCTTCTTGCTGCTTAGAGTTCTTTGAAATGCTTTTTAGCTATGGTTTGTCACCAGCCTTTTCCTATGGTCAGAGTAAAATCTCAGTAATCAAAATGACCTATGTAGCCATGAGCCTCTACTAGAAAGTCATCTGGAGTGGGGTACTCAGGAAAGAACATAGTTGTGAGTAGTAATTTTTTTCTGCTTGTTTGAGAAGTTGAACTTTGAAATGCTTAGTTCTGTAGAAGGCTGGTTTTATTTTTTTATTTTTCAGAATTTTAAAACCATCTGTTGTCTAAGTGATTTTTTTTTAGCCCCAGGTCCAGGTATTTTGGGGAGGTGCGGGGGATAGCTTCAAAATTGTGTTTCTCTGAATTTTTTATTTATGCATTATTTGATATGTTACAGAAAAACTCTGCACATAAAAATAGTTACTTATAACCATATTTAACCTGAAATTTTATGGCTGAGCTTTAATGTGGGTTATGTGGTCTCTTAATTATTCAGAATAGATTTTTTAGTCAGCATTTAAAACTCTCTATTGCTTGGCACAGTGCCTTACTTATAATAGACAATATATTTTTTAAGTGGAATTGCTTATAACTTTTACTGGTGTTTTTTTGTTTTTGTTTTTTTTAAAGAAAAGGTATAGTTTGGCAGTTGGGCCTCCCAAAAAAGACCCCAAAGTTAAGGGTGTCCAATCAGCAGCTGTACAAGCTTTTCTCAGAAGAAAAGAAGAGGAGCTCAGACAAAAAGGTGTGTATCTATAGCCTTATTCTCAATTTTAAAGTCTTCCATCTTCACAACTAGCTATACTTAACCAGTAGATGTTTTTAATAACACAACGGGCTAATGGATTTGTTGCATATGTGTCTGAGTCAACTGTATTTATAATATTACTTATGTTCTTGTGTTGATCATTTGTATGTTGTTATCTTTTATTCCCTCTTAAAAGCTTTTTGGAGATAGTGACCATATCTTCTAATTGGCCATAGTAAGGTCCCAAATAAGAACTCCATTCTTTGACCTTTGATCTGAATCTGCTTCTAGCCTATTTTGTATTTTGACTTTTTTTTATTAAGAGTTCTATCTAAATGGTTAAAAAAGAGGCAGTTTTTGAAAATCAGTAAACTCAAGTAGTAGTTTTACTTCATGTAAATGATGAGGAAACTGATTCAATAAGTTTAAGTATTCATTGATTGATAATAACAGCTGCTAGGTGGGTATTAATGTTCCCTTAACTTGACATATGTATTTGGTTATGAATTATTTTCTATATTTAAAGCTAAAAGCCAAGTCTCTCACTTGCTTAGTCATATAGAAAGACTCATATGTGACCCACTCATTATGTTAAGGTGACTCAATTGATATTTGTTCAGATACTTCATTTGATTCCTAGATATCTTCAAACTGTATTGTTTCAAACTAAATATTGCTTGTCTTTTAGTGACCTACTGATTTCAGATGAACATACGGTTATCTTGATACCTTGAAATATGTTCTTGTTTTGTCTCTTTAGCCTTAGAGGAGAAAAGGAGAAAAGAAGAACTAGTGAAAAAGCGAATTGAACTAAAACATGACAAGAAAGCAAGAGCTATGGCCAAAAGGACAAAGGATAATTTCCATGGTTACAATGGGATTCCTATTGAGGAAAAGTCAAAGAAGAGACAGGGAATGGAAAGCCACACTAGTCAGGGAACAGACCAAGAGTACGAGATGGAAGAAGAGGATGAATTCTTTGAATACAATCAGGCAGCATCAGAGCAGGAGTATGAGGAAGAGCAAGAACCTCCCAAAGTTGAAAGCAAACCAAAGGTTCCCCTTAAAAGTGCCCCACCACTCATGAACTTCACTGATCTCCTCAGGCTGGCTGAGAAAAAGCAGTACGAACCAGTAGAAATTAAGGTAGTGAAGAAAACAGAACAGCGGCCTATGACTGCTGAAGAACTTAGGGAGCGAGAATTTCTTGAACGAAAGCATAGGAAAAAGAAACCTGAGACAGATGCAAGACTACCTCCAACCAAAAAAGTACCCTGTCAGAAAGAAAGTGTGGGCACAAAACTTAGCAAAGTTTCTGGGGACAAGCATTCTTCTAAGGGTACTCCCTTTCCTCACGCTGAGAAGAAATTCAAACCCAGCATAGCTAATGAGAAACACTTAGGTTTGTTTTCATCCAAATCTGTGCCAGGAGAGAGGACCAAAGTAGGATCTGGCAATTGCTCCCAACCCTCGCTACGTGAGGGCCGTGACAGACCTGTTTTCAATGGGGCTGGAAAGACCCACTCAAGTACCTATTCACCAAGTGTCCCAAAGACTTCTGCTAAAGGGACTCAGAAATCTGCTACTGAGCACAAACCTAAAAAATCTCCTTCTCACCCTAGCCATTCCAGGCCTGGGTCCATGATCACCTCTCATAATAAGGCTAAGTGTCCAGGTGTCAGGCAACCAGGCAGCAGCTCCAGCTCAGCCCCTGGGCGGCCCAGCACAGGGACCGCTCAGCCTACAGTTGGTTCTAGTCCCATGCCCAGGCGCCAAAATGGCAGCTCCAGCTCAGGGCCTGAGCGGTTAGTCAGTGGGAGTAAGAGGCCAGCCAGTGACTTAAATCCTTCTGGACGGACAGTCAGCAGTACCCATGGCCCTGGACGACCTGCAAGCAGCTCAAGTGGCCCTGGGCGACCCATCAGTGGCTCAGGTGGTTCTGGGAGATTAATTGGCAGCTCTGGTGGCCCTGGGCGGCCTACGAACAGTCCACATGATGTTCGACGACCAGTGAGTGGCTCATGCCCCCTTGGGCGGTCAGTCAGTGGCCCTGGGCGATCAGTAAGTGGCTCAGTTTCAGCTGGACGGACTGTCAGTAGTTCAGCCCCTGGAAGACCAGTGAGCAGCTTGGGACCTGGGCGAACAGTTAGTACCTCAGGTCCCCCGCTGAAGCCCAAGTGCACTGTTGTCTCTGAAACAATTTCTTCCAAGAATATCATTAGCCGGTCCAGCAGTGGACAGATGAATGGAATGAAGCCTCCCTTATCTGGCTACAGGTCTTCCCAAGGTAAAATTGCCCCTTATCCTGAGTATTTATTTGTCACTAGAAGTTGGTAAATATGTTTTATATGACCAGAGATCCTGTAACCCTCTTTGTGCTGTTTAATGTGCTCTTATATTGATTGAATCTTGACATTTTGTCCTGTGCCTGAGAGTTTTAGTGATCATGGCTTGGAAAAATCTTCAGAAAGAGACTTATCTAGGGCCACTGTGTTTAGCCCTGAAATGTCTCCAAGTTTAATAAACTTAGCTATGTGATTTGGAAGACAGGGTGAGTGTATATGCCATATATGGTTCAATGAATGAATTCATCTTTACCTTTTCATGAAGACTTGAGAGACCTGTCTTCAAGGATTGGAGTGTATTTGTAAGCAGGAAGTCTTTTGGTGCACTATTTATTCATCAAATATTTGTTAAGTACCCACTATGTGCCAGGAACTGTTTTAGACTGCCCTTGTATTTTTCTACTCCTTATAATAGGCAATATCAAGGTCCTATCTAGCTAGTAGTCCTTTAGGAATCTACTGTTCCAAGGTATGGGATGATTGGTAGCATGTACTAGGTGCTAGGTCATAGTTTCTTCACGGTAATAAACATTTGGTAAAGCACTTGTTAGCTGCTATGGAGAATAAAAAAAAAAAAAAAAAAGACAAGATTCCATGCTTTTAACTTCTAATTCAGCTAGAACATTGGTTCTCAACCAACAATGATTTTGTTCCCCAGTGAACATTCGGCAATATCCAGATACATTTTTAATTGACACACCTGGGGACAGGGGATGCTACTGGCATCTAGTAGATAGAGGCCAGGAATGCTACTGTTATCCTGCTATGCATGGGCCAGCCTTCTCACAGCAAAACCTTTCTGGGCCAAAATGTCAGTAGTGCTGACGTCGAGAAAGAAGCTCTGAGCTAATGAGACAAACCACGTATATTAAAAACTTTAGAAGAACCAGAAAGCAGTTATTCTCAGACACTGGTCTATTGATCAGTGCCTATCTTTTGCAAAAATTGTAATAAATCTTTTGATAAAATGATAATGTGAGTTTTTTCTAAAGTCAGACTTTACTCAGTTTTAACAATTATCCATAATTCCGAGAATCTTTCCTGTTTCATTGTACTTCAAAAAATTTAATGAAATTATGATGATAATTGATGGTTGGTTGTTACCTTTGGTGCCTTTGTGCAATTAAGTTAGTGACCCTATAGCTATTTGTAATTGTTTGTTTTTTTGTGTTTTTTAAGAGATTTTGCCCGTCTCTTAAATCTAGAAGAATGGGAACTACTAAGCTAGAAAATGTAACAGACACTTCTAGTAAGCCCTAAGATATACAGGAATTCTGATCTGTTCCTTGTTGATACCGGGAAGCAGCAGGGACGATGTAGTAATGACTCCATGCTTTGTGCCAGCTTGCTGGCTCTGGCTTTTGAGAATGCCATCTTAATGAGTTCTCAGAATCTCAGTTTATGTAGAACTTTGCTGGGACTGTTTTAAGTGTTATTCTGTTATAAATGATGGCTTTTCTATTCCTAGGTCCTCAAAGGCTTCCCTTCCCTAGTGGTTACAAAAGGCAGCGAGAATATGAAGAGGAGGAAGATGATGAATATGACTCTGAAATGGAAGATTTTATCGAAGATGAAGGAGAACCTCAGGAAGAAATATCTAAGCACATTCGAGAAATCTTTGGCTATGACCGAAAAAAGTAAGGCTAAAGAAGTTTTAGATATACATTTTGGTTTGAAAAATTTATGCTAAAGGAAAAAGTAGAGGCATTGAATACTATTCTTAGGAATCTTTGCACAATTGTTTAGATTTACTCCTTTGGCACTTGATATTTAAGTATTATTTGTGTAGATCCTTGCATGAGGGTCAAAAAAACATTCCTTTTTAAACCGTTGTCTTTATTAAGATGTATATTTAATGAGAGTGAAGCAGCTTGGTGTAGTAAAAATAGCTTCGAAATCAGAAAGCCATCCATTGAGCTATGTTGAAAGCTGATCTTATATCTGCTTTTCTTTAAAAAGCTTTGCTACTCAAAAGTATGGTCCTTGGAGAGCAGTATGGGACCAACGCATTGGCATCACCTGGGAGCTTGTTAGAAATGCAGGCTCTCAGGCTGCATCTCAGATCTACTGAATCCAAATTGGTTTTGTAAGGTTCCCAGGTGATTTATGTGCATGTTACAGTTTGAAGCACTGGTATAGAGGAAATATCAGAGTTTAAATGGAAGTTCCACCACTTACTAGCTGGGTAAACTTGAGTAAATTATTTTTAAAATGACATTTGGAAGGATTAAATTAGGTAGTATATATAGGACAGAAAGGCTTTATTATGGTGCTGTCAATCAACAATTGCTACCTCCTTTGAAGCCATAGATATGAGAAAAGGTCTTTTTTAAGAAAGACTAGACTAAGAACTGGATTAATCAGATCTAAAAATCTAATCATTAGCTAGCTATATGTTCTTGGTCAAGCTATTATTAACCTGTCTGCTTCAGTCTCCTGTTCTAAAGTCCTTCCCTACCTCAGGATGGTCATGAAGTTCAAATAAAATTTATACAAAATGATGTTTACATATTGCGTTTTCAGGATTTTAATATAAACATCACATAAATGGAGGTGAGTGAGCATTGTTGGTTGGCACCTTCATCAGCATTATATTCAAGAATAGTTGCCTTCTGGGAGTAATAAGGGTTCATTTGGTTTCACTTCAGAAATCCACTTCTACCCATCCTCTCCCTCAACCCCATCCCAACCCCCTGCCAAGTAAGATGGAGTAATACTAAATGTGTGATTTAGTTATAGAGATGTTGGTTTTTAAAAAGGGAAGATGTAATTCCTTTAGAAAATTGAAAATTTGTTTGTTTTTTTAACAACTTTGATTTTCTCTTTTCAGATACAAAGATGAAAGTGATTATGCCTTACGTTACATGGAGAGTAGTTGGAAAGAGCAGCAGAAGGAAGAAGCAAAAAGGTAAGCACAAAACAATACATGGTGTTGACATGTCCTAAAAATTCTGTTGCTGTTTTGGTTGCATCATTGGGAGCAGGGGCTTTGGGCTATACAGTTGTCAATTCCAGTCCTGCTTACTTGCTGTAGGGCTTTAGACAAATTCCTTACCTTTTTGTCTTGTTTTATTTTAAAATGAAAATATTCCATTTTTACTGACTGAGGGGTATTGTGAGGATTAAGATAATGTGAACAGGTTGCCTCTAGTGCAGTGCTTCACCCATGCAGGCCCACAATCCAGTTGTAGCATGTTGTCTTGCTTTTCTTTCTCCATCCTTAATTACCTTTCCACGTGAGACACATCTGTGTCTTGCTAACTTGTGCCACTGCTGGCCTAGGGACCTAATGAGGAATGTTAAATTCCCTCTGATTCCTGTTTGGCTACCTGATAGCAAACTAATGATAATTTCTTGGGTAGAGATTGTTTTGTTTATAGCATTAACTTGGTGAAATAATTGACCTCAATTTCAAACCAAATCTTAAATCTTTTTCTCCCCCTTACCTTCTCTTCTTGTAACTAGATAAAATATCAAACTGAAGTATTGGAAGCTAAGCAGGGTCGGGCCTGGTTAGTACTTGGATGGGAGACCACCTAGGAAGATCAGGTGCTTTGGCGAGGAAGATCAGGTGCTTTGGCATAAAAATTAAAAAATAAGGGATTGTAAATTGACAAGGTCCTTGCAATCTGTGAGGTCAACCAAGGGTTGCCTCACCTAAAAAATAAAGCATTGAGAAGGGACAAGCATAGAATGTTATTTTATTTTTGAATACATTTCTTATTCTTTATTTTTAAAAGCCATTGAAATCATTTTTATTTTATTACTTTAATGGAAATATTAAGGCATTTGTGTTGAGGTTGTATATGAGGTCTTTTTTCCACTATAATTTGAGTCAGCAGCAGTGGTTCCTGGTAAAAAATATTCCTGCTAGTCTGTTTTCAGTGATAAAGCCTTGAGGCATTTTGAGTACATCAACACATTCCACCTGAGCTGTTAGAATTTCTTGTTTTTTAAAGTGATAATTTCATGTGTATTGACAAATACCTTTTTTTTTTTGACAGTTTAAGACTAGGTATGCAAGAGGACTTAGAAGAAATGAGACGTGAAGAAGAAGAAATGAAACGTCGAAAGACCAAGAAGCCGAAGAGGCGTTAGCTGATGTTTTCATTTATTTTTGTGAAATTCTGGAAACACTCTGCTGCCAGGAAGTCCTGCCTTCAGACAGAAAAAGCCCCCCATTTATACTTGGGTCCTCAAGGAGAAGGAATGCATACTGTGTATTATGAGCATAAAGTATTTTTAAATACTTTCCAGGGTGGAATTTCTAATGCAGATGATACAATGCCCAGTGGGTGCTCTTAGGAAGCTAACCGTTCACAGGTGCCAGTCTTCATCCTGATGAGCTATGCACTCTAACGTGGGGCTGTTCACCAGTCAGCCAGTCTTTTGTTGTTCCTTTGCTATTTGAAAAAAGGAAAAAAATTGCCTCTTGTCTTCCATGCTTCTGCTGATGCGTGAGTAGGGCAATGGCCAGCCCGCAATCAAACCTATTTTGTCTTTTTATGAGGAACCTGGCCCTTCCATGAATGTTGCCAGCAATAAAGTGACCTGTCCTAATCTATATGTTTGTATGGAGCCCTCGAAAATGTAGAGTAGGCTTTATAATTATCATATGGATGTCATCTCTGTGACTTTGAAAAAGTAGAATAAATTATATTGTATTCTGCATTATTCATGGATTGGATGCTGAGCACTTATTCACTAATGTAGATGACAAGGCAATTAACAAAAAATTTTCCAAGTTAAAATATAAGATATGCCCTTTAGTGTAAGAGTATTCTTTTCCAAGTTTTCCTTTCAGATTTACTGTAAAATAGACAATGTCACTGTGCTGATTTTTATCTAAAAATTCATTTTTATATTGAAGAAAAAATATTTTATTCAAACATTAGAGTCGGAAGAGTAGTAGTTTAAAAAGTAAGCAGGTGACATGTGAAGTTCTCCCTCCTCTCATCCCTCTCCCCGCTTATAAAGATATTTTGGAATCCAAGGTGCCCTTGTACCTCTTGATGTTAATGACTTTGCATTTTTTATCTTAAAATTCCTTAGCAATTAATGGCAAAAACCAAAAACTAAATTCATGTGCATCAAGAGCACCACTTTCTCTTTTTTCCCATATTGCACTTTTATTTCAAACTATGCACTGTGAAGACATTTTTTTCACCAGGTGGAAAAGGATGTTCCCTGTTACTGGTGTTTTACCGAGCTGTGGAACTTCTTTCATTCTCACCTTTCTTCAAGTCATATCTATAGACTTGCTATCTCTTAAGCCTCAAGTCCAAGCAATTCTAATCAGGCTGAGTTAGGTTCTGGCTGGAAAGAAGCCAAGTTTCGAGGAAAGTCAGCAACAGAAAATGAGTTATGATGGTAGAGATCATTTGTCTTTGATTCTAAATGTGAGAGTAAGGGACAGTTGGGACATAAGTTGTAGAACAGTTCTACAATAAACATTGTGCTTACCTTAAGCCAGCGGTCCCCAACCTTTTTAGCACCAGGGACTAGTGCTCCTATGAGAATCTAATGTCTGATCTGAGGTGGAGCTGAGGTGGTGATGCTAGGGCTGGGGCGCGGCTGCAAATACAGATGAAGCTTCACTTGCTGGCCCGCCGCTCATGTCCTGCTGTGCGGCCGGGTTCCTAACAGGCCACGGACTGGTACCAGTCTGTGGCCCAGGGTTGGGGACCCCTGCCTTAAGCCATTGGATGGTGGGGATTAGGAAGTAGGAAAGGTTGTCCTACAAAGAATCCTTACTTTTCAACAGGTCTGAAACTTGCTTTTGGGCATTCCTTTTTATCCATAAAGCTTTATTCAAGTTTGGGTATTACAGATTACCATTATTAGCCTCCCTTAATGGGATGACCATATGGCCCAGTCCCTTAAGACTCTAACTCATATTGAATTGAGTTTTAAACTTTGAAAGTGCAAGGATTTAATTTTAAATTTTAATCCTATGGTGTCTTCATCACTAGAGATGACACTCATGCGCCATGTAGAACTGTTATACTGATGGCAGAAAATCCTATTAACTGCCTCTCAAATACCTTCATTGAAATTGATTTAAGGGTAGTGTGATGTTCCATGTAATAAAACAGGTTTGGAACATTATAACTTTTGCTGTCACTTATGTGCTTCCCCCCCCTCCACCTTTCAGGTTTTTTTTCTTGTTTTCAATACAGACTCTTTGAAATCTATAATTACAATCAAGTGCCACAACTGAAATATTGTCACAACTGAAATATTTTTTGGTGGCTTAAGTTTACTAGCACTTTAATCAATGATATTGTGCAGTTATTTGTACAGAAAGGCACCATTGTGCTAGACGAAAGTTCCAGAACTTGGTAAGAGTCATATTGTGTCCTGATGTGTCATTCCCTTCTGAGTGCATTTCTTGTATAATATAGACATTGATTTTAGTATTCTTCATTATAAAAGGGCACTACTGTCGCTCATTAAAGTTCTGAGTAAGTCTATCTTGGCCTTGTTTCCCCATCCTCTTCCATTTTGTTTCTGCAGTTCCTGAACACTCTTTAAAAAAAGCTCACAAACTTCTAAGAAATTGGAATAGGCTGTTATTTTATCAAGGTTTACAAATTAAGTGCTTGATTTTTCATGTATCCTCTACCGTTTTGATTTTCAGATTTTATTGATTCAATATTTGAAGATGTGCCTTTTATTAGGTAATGTTAATTCACGAATGTAGTAATGTTATTTCACAATTGTAATGTTACATGATCATGGGTGTGGCATTCTCTAACAGATGATGTGAAAGGAAAGTAGTTTTCATAAAACTCATGGCTCTGATTGCACAGTCTCACTTGCTTTTGATGTTGCTATGTCAACGCAAGGGGCACTTTCTCTTAAGGCTACTTTCAGAACTTGTCTTTGTATTTTCTCTAAACTGTAAATGCAATTATGTCCATTTGGAGGCCAGGGTACCACATGTCACAGGCAGCCTTACATGTGTGCCGTGAGAAGGTTCAAAGACTGTTAAGAAAGTCTATGGGAACTCGAAATTTCATTTTTTTAATGTAATCCCCAAGATTTTCTCTAAGAAATAAATCACTGTTTTGTATTTTGTAACTTAAAAGCAGCTATTAGTACATTTCTGAGATATAGCAGGAGACCAAAACATGTTTGGAAAGATAATAAATATATAAAGAGAGACTGTTTGGTTTATTTTCAATGTACTGAATATATTAATATTAGACTATTTATTTTGTGAGTGGACGTGATGAAATAAATATTAAGGTGTTTAGTGTATGATTAAGAGTGGGATATAGATTTCTTTGGAGTTATTAAATCCATCATGTCTTTTACATACTGGACAAATCAAGTTTAAAAAAAACATTTACATAGATTAGCTTGTAAATCTGGTGCTGTTGACCTGCAAGAGAATCTACTTTTGCATATACAGGTGAAAGTTTTGCAATTTATGTATAAAAAATTGTAGGCATTAAAAATATTTTATTGATATTTTCACTGGTTTGAATTTATTTGCCAAAATTTATATTCCTCATTTCCTCACCCTGAACATTTTTCCAGCTAGAAACCCCAGTAGATTTCATGAGACTTCAGAGGTGGGGTTTGCCTCCTTACACACAGGCCTCCGTTCTCTCTCATACATTCATGTTTCCTCAGCTCCTATCACTGATACCTCGTCTTTCCCCACTCCCACCAGCTTAGAGAAGACTTCCAAGTTAGAACTGTTTGGACATACTCAGAACTGGAGGCCAGAAGAACTGGGTATATACTTCCTCTTATCAAGAAAAGTAGGTTCTAAACCCCTGTAATCAAAAGCACCTGAGATGGCTGAGATGAATCCTTTATATATATATAATCCCTTATATATTATAGTAAGTGGGCACAGCCCTCTGCCAGAGAATATAGCCACTTCATGGAATGTGTCGAGTCTAGATATAAGTATCATAAAAAATGCTAGTATCCTAGATTGAGAAATTACTAAAAAAGTTTTGCTTATGGGTTTTAATTTTCTTTTCTTTCCATAAAAAATAAAAAGGGTAATCCACTTCAGTGCATAGAGCCACTTAAAAATAGTTTATCAAATATGTATCAAGTAGCCATCAACGAAATATCTTCGTAACTAAAAGATCTGCTGGTAAGGGTGCACTTCTGAACAATGGAACTGTATCAGTCACCTCAAGCAGCCACAGAATGGGAACAGTTCCATATAGTTTATTTTTTAAAGTACTGTATTTATTCTTGTTAGATTTGTCCCTCCCTCTCCCCGTTTAGGGTCAGGAAGCTCCAAACCACTAGAGGGCTTATTACAAATAATCTAGGGCTCAGACACCCAGATTAATTGCGTGGATCTTATACTTAGATTCCATCCTTGGTGTCATAAACCCAAACTGCATCATATTGAAGACTGAGCAGTTATCTTTTGTTTCTATACATGTTCCCTGTATCAGCAGCGGTCACTGCTAAAAGAAGCAGGCAATTTCTTGGTTACTTAGATGAGAGACGTTTGGACCAAGCAGCAGCCAAAATCTTAGATATCCTAATCTCTTGTTTGACCCTTTTTCTTGCCACATAAAAGCATGCCAAGAAGGGGGCCTGGAACTAATCTTGACTGCAACCCAGAGTTTTGTGGCTTAGTAAGGTACTTAGGCCTCTCAACTTCACTTTTGCCATTTTGTAAAACAAGGCTGGCATCCAACTTCAGAAGGTCATTGTAAGGATTAAAATAATGTGTAATTTAGTATCTGGCACCCAATGTAAAAACGAGGTCCTTTCTCTACACGGTATAACCTTTGGGTTCTTAATAATAGCTATGAAAGGCCACAGAGAAATGCCTCCAAAGAATAGGCTTAAAGTTGCTCCAGCCCTTTTAACATTTTTTCAACCCTGGACCCAGGAAAAACATGACTTTGGAAATAGGTCTAAAGAGCTCTTGAGAATTTCTATCCTTAAGGACACAGAATAAAGGACAAATTGAACTGGATATCTTAGTCTTAATAGCAGTCTTAGGGACTATGAAATGGGGGAAGGGGGACCCGAACACTCCCATTCACCCTGACTACCTAGCCCCTTCCATCTATGTTTCAAGCTAACAGAATGCCAAGTCTTCATCTTAAAAAGTGCAATAAATTTTTACATAAAATGTGACAAAATAATGTGCAATTACTTTATGCGAAACCATCAACAGGAACTGTTCAACTGGTCAGGTGAGCTTCAGAGCTGCATTACTTCACCAGGATCATCTTTGCTTATTTCCAGCGGGGTCTGAAGGGGAAAAAGTATGTCAAGTGGGTGGTGGTCTTGTTTAGTGTTTGCTAGCTGTGAGGCTAAGGTAATTGCCCTCCTTGCCAAGGCAGGCAGGGATAGCTGTGTCCAATTCTGTCACCTAATGCCTCCAATCCCAGTTGCCAGAGGGGCTTAGCAGGACAGACAAGAGGCAGAGAAAGGACAAATATCCAAGGTCCAACACAAGAGAGGAAAGAGACATCTGCCACTAGAACCATTTTACAGGTCAGTGTTTACTTGATGAGGGAGAGAAGTGTGGGTTGCTGGTGTGCTTTGCTTTAAGAAATGGTATTGAAGGCTGAGCATACAAAATGTCCCATGAATACAAGATGAGGTCACCCATGTCACACAGCTTTGAGAAATCTTTATCTCTACACCTCCAGTTTATTTGAAAGAAACTGAAGAACTTAAAAAGAATAGACTCTTAGGAAAATAGGTATAAAAAATCACATGAAAGGAAACTCTCCCAACTCTAAGTAGACAGTATACAATAACAGAAGTAGGTAAGCTACACAACTTTTTTAATAAAGAAAAGTATTTGTTTCTAAAGTTACTAGAGTTAGATTTTGATGCTTAGTTCATTTATCTGGGGGAATACATTTCAAAGTAGGAACAGAGAACAAAGCTGAAGGCACACTTACCCCTCCTGGGGGATACTTATATCCCTTCCACATTGTTCCTGCAATGAGAAGCATCCATAAGACGACAATCATTGTGGGCTTCTTGCTCAGCTGGTGATGTGTTCAGGGGGAAATGGGTGGTCTGGAAGGTGTTTTTTATTCTCTGAGTCCTGGGAACTGGGCCGTCTTCATTCAAGACCAGATGGTGGATGGCCCAGCATGACAGCTCCTGGCTGAGGAGCTTTGTGGTCTAGTCTGAACTGAACTGGCTCACCACGGCATTTGGAGGGGCAGAGCTCAGAAACCAATTGTGACATCAGCTCCTGTGACCTTGGGGACCAGTCAGAGTGAGTAGCTACAAAATGGTTGGCCAGGATGGGGTTAAAGAAGGGCCCTGTTCTGTGCTGACTATATGGTTGAGATTTAATTGGCATCATTCTTTATTAACACATCACCTATCAAAATTTGACTGTTGGCTTCATGCAATCAGATGCAAAACACATTTCTAGGTAAAACACAAAACAAAATATACCCTGGATTAATTGGGAGGATTAACTGGCTAGATATGCTATGAGCAATCACTATATATACTACTGTTAGGTTATTCAAAGAAAAATCTTGCATTTTGCAAAAGAGCACAGTTACACCTTCATCATGCAAGGTAAGCCTCCTCATAACTTCCCTGAGAAAATAAGGAAGATGGACTATTATGCTCATTCCATAGCTGGAGAAACTGAGGCACAGAATAGTTTCAGTGGATTGGTCAGAATCCCAGTGCAGCAATGGCTCAGCTAAACATATGCCCAGTGCCTCCATCCACATCCTCACCCCTACACTGGTCTGTGTTGTACCAACATTCAGAAATTCTAGGGTAGATGGAGAAGAAAAAGAACAACCATCATGCCTTGCTCTCAGTGTACGTGGGGCTGGGATTTGATTCCCCTGCCTTCCAGAGTAGCTTCCCAGAAAAACCTGCTCCTGTAATTGGCATATGACTAAGACTCTCAGAGTTAAGTTTCTTTAACTATGGGAACATACATCTTTGAAAAAACAGGTCTGAATGAAATGGGACGGGATGTGAGAAACACAGGAGATGGTTTGCCAAAAAGATACCACTATTAATGGTTGCTATAGCAGAGTGGTCTAGTGGAATAAGTGTAAGAAGCTATAAAGTACAGAGATCTATGCTCGCATCCCAGCTTCACAAACAAGTTGGTCTGTGTGGCCTTGGCTAAACAATTGAGGTCATTACCACCAGTAAATCTTTGGTTCATTATTTTGCTTAGTTGTTAAGTTAGCATTTACAAAATGCTAATTGTCGAGCTTTGCATTAAATTCTTTATATGAATTCCCAAATGGAATCCTCACAAAAATAGTAGAATACTGAGATATCTCCATTGTTATACAGATGAAGAAACTGAACTTCAGAGAGATTAAACTTTTCCAAGGTCACATAGCTAGTAAGTTGCAAAGTTAGAATTTAAACTTAAATTCACATTAACTCCAGTTTCAGGATCTGCCAAAAAGGGTGTTAGAGATGTTGGTCCAATTTACTGTAGAGTTTGTGAGGAGAAAATAAGTTAATGGGAATAGTCTTTGAAAAGAATACCTATGAGGTGTGGCTATTAAATCTTTGAACATTGGCCTGCTGC